CTTTCCCGTTCCGGCGGCGACGATCTTGACGGTGGAGTGATAGACGAGGGAAAAGCCGATGTGACGCGATGGCGGGGACAAGGGACCTTGACTGTGAGAAAAGCGTTATCGACCCAAATCGCGTTAGGAAAAACGACTTGCTTGGAGCAAGTCCGAAGTCGCGCTTGAGTTGGGCAAAGACGCGTCGTTGGGCGACCAGAACCACGCAGCGGGGTCATCTGGATCAAGGTGATGTCTGCCATGAGACGGAGCTCTGTGGCGATAGGGTGGATTCGTGGACATTGGGAGCGAGCATTTGGGTGGGGTGATCGTGGGATTAGCCTCCTCCGGCCGGTCGTACCCAAGAGACCGGGCGATGACTTTACCTTTACCAGTGAAGTCTATCGACGTGTCAACGCCCCACACCGGCCTCAGTATAAATCGGATCACCCTCTACATCCTTACAAGCACGACTACGCGAGCTGGATCGCGCATCGGCAGGCTCCACCGGATCCGGATTGTAAAAATGACTTTTTTCATTAGAGTCATGGATATCGAAGACACAAGAAAATTTCTGGTACCATCAAACAGGGCCCAAGAGTACCATTATCGTGAGATAGCGAGTCTGCGATGCCAAGAAAGGAGTCACTTTGTTTCTTGTACCACTGTACGTATCATGGACGGTGGCGAATCGCACCAAACGCCCCCGTATATGAGCCTCTTCGTGCCTGCCTCACCCACTTCTAGGACCCCGGATGATATCCCCAACAACGGCGATCTCTCGTCGACTTTAGGACTCACCTCATCGAGCCTGCGTCCTCTCTCAACGATCCTGTAACCGCCCCGAGCTCAAAACGTCGCTACACCGATAGAAGCAGAAAGGGCAACTCACCCTCGCATGACGGCGGCAGTCGTCATTCGCTTGGCCTGCCGCTTGGACTTGTTATCTTCGTACCGGTCCGTCTCATCGACGATCTCTTCGGCAATGATCTCTTCGATGATATCTGTGTGATCCGCTATGCTTACTGGAGCTATTTCCTCGTATTTGAACTGCGACGTACCTTCGAGGGTGATGACTCCTATCGCACCGCCGGAAATACCGGGGGTGTTACTGATGAGCAAAAGGTGCGCGCGGCCTGTCTGGCTACAGTCGGCAACGGGGTGTGAATCTAGCAGACGCAAAAAAACCTGAGAGAACGCACAAGTAGTCTAGTGCCTGGAAGACGTTGATGGTCGGTTCCGCTTCCGGTAGAATCGACAGGGCGAACTTTGACACGGGCCAGCATTGTGACGGGTCGTAGATCAACAGCTGTGAGCGAAGCCCGTCAATAATTGCAGATTAACTGAAACTATGCCGAGCACAACCTTCTTCACTAGCAGTAACCCTAAAAAAGCTAAGGTATTTCCAGGTTCGTGGACAGGGAATCGAGAGTATCCACTGAACAGCCTGTTTTTGAAATATCAGCGACCTCGTTTGAGGCGTCCATTTTCAATCTACATACAGAGACTCGATCATCTTTGCATCCAAGATGGTGTCCGAACTGAGGGTTATGACATCCTGCCACGCCAATGATAGTCAGTTACCCCAGGACCCGAATAACGGCGTCGGGCCTACCTTCATTGGAGTCATGATCTTCTCGACACTCTTTGTATTGAGCTCCAGAACGCCATTCAAAATGTTGATCTCGTCATCTCTTAGGGGTTCCTCGCCAGTGCGGTGGAACTGTAAGAAGATTTTTAGCTCTGCCTTTTTGTATGTGTGCACGTCGCCTTTTTCCGAGGACGTAGTCGAGGAGCTTGGCTATTGGCCACGCGATGGGAGCTAGAGAGGGAGTGGTAAGTTACATGTGAAAAGTGTACGGAGGGATAAGAATGCTAACCAAAGAAGTACATCAATGTAAGTACGACAGGGACACAACGAGCGCCAATTGACAGGCCATGGCGTACGCTCACAGCTTGGGGAATGACCCTGGTGTGATTCTCAGTATTTGCAGGAAAGGGTAGAGGGTAGACATACTCTCTGTCAACGCGGTAAGGATTGATTCAAATTCAATTGGACGGAGGTTGAGGGAAAAATGCCATACCCAAAGATAACTAGATAGAAGATCGACAATAAGCATTAAGTATGCATACATCGTTGACAGAGACAATACCAATCATTGTTGTGGAGATAACAATTGCGGCGACCCCACCACCGATCTGCAAGGTTCAGAGACGAACGCCGTGAAAATGGGTTTGCCCCGGACTCACCGCACTGTCGAGGAAGATGGGTAAACTCTCATTTACTATCTACATTTGCAAATCAGTTGAAGTGACATGATATGCATGGTATGATACATACGACATTGCCGAGCAGCAGGACCTACATACCGAGGCGTCAGCAAGAGTGCTCGACGGAAGGAGGGCGGAACCAAATCGCTTACCACCAACACCCAATGACGGCCCTTGTCGAGCAATTTGAGAACTGGGGAAAACTATCGTCGCCCACGGTCCTTCCTGAGTAGGTTAATCACCCACCTTGTACTGCATCTTTCCTTTCTTTCTCGTTCTCAGATGACGTGGAGAGCACGCGGAGGTGCAGCTCATCGAGGCCCATGAGCCCGAGGGTCAGTCTGACATGACACGAAGACGAGTGTCAATGACGCGAGTTCCCTCGAAGAGTGTGAACATAGAGGAACGTGCCCGGCAAGGACTCCTCCTAGCAGTACCAAGCAGGTACTAATGAGCATCTTCGACCAGAACTCAGGAGAACCTAGTTCCTTTCCAAGGCCTGCGCCGGCGATGTTCATACTCGCGAATGGAAACGCGCAGGGATTCTTCAGAGAGACTAAGGGAGGCATTCGAGTTGAGGGCGAGGTTGGAGGAAAGGGGACTTTTTGAGGACTCATTACGATCTCGATCTCATTAACAGATCTCATTTACCCGCAGACGCGCTCTTGGCGATGATCACGTGATACACATCCCGAGACCCAAACTGGTCACGTTGTCGTCCGTCCTCCAGTGGTGTATGCGCAGAATACTCGCTCTCCTCCCTCGTCATCATATCTTGATGGAAACCAGACCGATTTCCTCACTACAACCTCTTCTCCAACCAGGGGACAAAAGGAATCGCTTGGAATCGCCTCTCCCTCCCAAACGGAGCAAGAAAAAGAAAAAAACTCCAGTAGAGTCGGGCTCTTCGGAAGATGTCATCTCCCGGGAAGTCGTCGCGCTTCTAGGAAAGGAAGTCGTGGCAAAAGTGGAAGCTGATGGTGTCGAATGGGAGTCGCCTTTTGGATTTAGGGAGGAAGTAGAGCTCACCGTATCGAGCATCTCGTCCAGCGGTATGTCTTACGCCAAGGTCTGTGCAGAGACCCTTGCTGCTGAGCCACCTTCTATCTGACCTATTTGACCAGGTGAGGGACTCGCCCTTGCCCCGTCCTCAAAGGGCCCATGGGTCGTTGTCATTCCATTCGTCCTGCCAGGAGAGGTCATTCGCGCGCGCGTCTACAGGCAAGCGAAGATGTACTCTTTCGCAGACCTCATCAGTGTTGAGGTGTCAAATCCCGAGCTAAGGGATATGAGTCGTGTCAAGTGCAAGTATTTCGGAACATGCGCGGGCTGTCAGTACCAGGTGTGCCTCCTTCCATGAAGATGTCTAGCGCTGCTTACCATGTGGCCGTAGATGCTGTCATACGAGACGCAGCTCGACCTTAAGCGCAATGTCGTTGTCAAAGCTTACCAGAACTACTCTAGTTCGCTTCCTTCTACACTCTTCTGACTGGTTAAATGACGACATGATTAGATTTACCGGAGTCGGATATTCCCGCTATACAACCAACGACCCCCTCCCCTCTTGAATATGGCTATCGCACTAAAATTACCCCACATTTCGATCCTCCGCCGAAGAAGGTGCAGAAACAAGGCCCCTCAACCAGCGAGGAAGGGAAACCGCCTTGGCTAAAGATCGGCTTCAATCAGACTGGAAGGCGAGTCGTGATGGATATAGAGGTATGGAACGTCGTCCTCCATAGGTATAGTCTGATCGCAAACGCCCATATTGTAGGAATGTCCCATTGCCACCTCGGTTTTGAATGAGACTTATGCTCCAATGCGCGACAATATCGCAAAGTATGCGTCCTTAACTAGCCCATACGTCTTTGCGCTGAATCGATGGCACACAGAGAGATATATAAATATAAAAAAGGGGTCTCCCTCTTACTCCGCGACTCGCTCGAGATACCAGGCAGCAACTCCCCCACAGCTACCACGCAACTTGGAGACAAAGACAACCACGTCTGCATCACAGATCACAAAGCAACCGTTCGGGAACGCGTCGGCGACCTGCTTTTCGATTACCAGGCGGGCTCTTTCTTCCAGAACAACAACTCAGTGCTCGTCCCCCTCACCTCGTATGTTCGCGACGCCATCTTCCCACCCGCGACCGCGGATCCGCCGAGCACCACTCCACCGCCACCACCAACCCACCTCGTAGACGCCTACTGCGGCGCGGGGCTTTTCGCGCTCACCCTTGCCGCACACTTCACCAAAGTCGCCGGCATCGAGCTCTCCGCCGACTCGATCCGCTTCGCGACGCACAACGCGGAGCTCAACGGACTCGCGCACAAGGTCTCCTTCCGCGCCGGCGACGCCGCGCAGATCTTCGATGCCGTAGGCGACTTCCCCCCTGAGCGCACCGCGCTCGTCGTCGACCCGCCCCGCAAGGGCTGCGACGAGGCGTTCGTGCGGCAGCTGCTTGCGTTCCGCGCGCAGACGGTCGTGTATGTGAGCTGTAATGTACATACGCAGGCTAGGGACGTCGGGCAGATCGTGTCGTGGTCGGCGGAAGAGACAGCGGTGGACGGGATGGGGAAGGGGAAATACGTCCTGGAAAGCCTGAGAGGGTTCGATCTCTTTCCGCAGACAGCACACGTCGAGTCTGTTGCAGTCTTGAGGCTCGTGTCGTAAACAATTTGTGGTTGCTCTTGCTCTCAGTTACTTTAAGTAGAGCTCATATATTACAATTCCGGAGGACAATTGTATCGGATATGGTGTAACGGTTAACATTACCGCCTCTCAGGGTGTGTCCAGATCGCGGTAGCTCGGGGTTCGATTCCCCGTATCCGAATTTTTTTCGTCGCATTGTCGCCAGTTGTTAAACTGTTGTTTACACCACGGCTTCTCACGGAGCATGCATTATTTATGTCGCAAAATTCGGGAGGGGGTTTATAATATATTATAATGACATAATGTGATGTAATGTCACCCAAACCTTATAAGAGGGACCAACTTTCCGCATCCAGCGACATCCCCAAAAAGGAAGGTGCCAAGAACATAGAGTGGGTGACTTCCTGTAGCGTCTGGAGTCTCTAGATTATTCTCCAGAGCGGAGTTTTCTCAGATTGCCGAAGTGCCGGACAGGCATGCTGATCACATAATACATTTTCATGTCCTCTAGATAATTTATCTGGCGGACCCTCCTGACCCTCTGCCAGAATATTATTAATCCTCTAGACTAGAAATGCCGGTATGCCGGACCCAGTGGAAAGGCGACTGAGCTCGGGTGGGGATTTCTGAGGACACTTGCATCACAATGCCTTGCTTTGTCATTTCTAGCACTAGATATTTTTTACTTGTCTACAGGGGGACAGGTCTTTGCAGAATTTATTTACCTTGATTACACATCTCGGGGACAGCCGTGCAAATAATTATCTAGACCTGCCAGATTCCTATGGGAAGTCACCCAGTGTATGCCAGATCACAGGGACCGACTTTCAGTTACAACTATTCCGCAGAGTGTTATGTCCCAAAAAAGGAAGGTGCCAAGAAAGTCATGTTCTTGGATTCCAAAACAAGACTGTCACTTTCAATTAGTGTTTAAACTCAGATGGAAGGACTTTCATTTAGTCAGCATAGTAAACATTTGTTATTCAGTTAACTTATGTTTAAAAAACAAGTATATTTTATTAGCGAACTACTGTACATGGATTTTTCTAAGTCGATGTACGGGTGCGGGGTTACGGAAAGGGTGCCCACCGTCTGCGCACAGCCCCACCCAGTGTCGCCTCACCCTGTTTACAACACCCTCCCTTCTGCATACACCCGAGGGCACACCGTCTCCTCCTTTTCGCACCCTTGCTCCAATGCGCCCACCCTTCCGTTCGCTGTCCATGCTCGGGTTGCACTGCCCCCCGTTCTGTGTACCCCTCTTCGTGTGCAGCCCTCCCCCTTGTGCGCATCTCACCCCGGGCGCGGCGCGTAAACCGGGGGGGTGAGTATGCCGTCCTTCCTGTACCTATGTGCAGGTGGGATGCAGAAAGCTGGGGGCTGGGTTGCGTTTGTGGTGGGCGCATCGGCCCTCCTGCGTCGTCGGGAATGTGCGGGAGCAGCGGGGCTTGTAAACGGGGGGTTGGGGTAGTGTACCCCACGTGGAGGGGGCTGAGGCTAGGTGCACCGACCCTCCTCCGGGAGTGGCATGGGCGTGGTGGGGCGTGTAAACCCGGGGCCGATGGCTTAGCCCACGCGGAGGGGACTGGTGGTGGGTGCGGGGCTTCCTGCACGCCCAGCATGCAAGGGGAGGGCGGTGCGGGCTGGCGTCGCCCACGCTGAGGCGTCCCTCCTCTTGTGTGCACAGGCAGGCAGGGCGTGTGGCATCGCCCGTGCTGAGGGGACTGGGGCACGCGCCATCCCCTCCTCTTGTGTGCGCAGGCAGGGGCGGGGTGAGGCGCATGGGCTGGGGGGCAGGTGTCTCCAGGGCTGAGGGGACTGGAGTGGGCATGCCATCCCTCCTATTGCGTACGCGGGCAGGGGCAGGGTGGGACGCGTGGGCTGGGCTGGCATCGCCCATGCTGAAGGGCAGGGGTGCGCACCATCCCCTCATCTTGTGTGGGCGGGCAGGGGCTGGGCGGGGTGTGTGGGTTGGGCTGGCATCGCCTGTGCTGAAGCGACCGGGCAGGGTGGGGCGCATGGGCTAGGTTGGTGTCACCCGTGCTGAAGCGACTGGGGCAGGCGCGTCATCCCTCCTCTTGAGTACGTGGGTAGGGCCAGGGCATGCCATCCCTCCCATTGCGGGTGTGGGCGTGGGGAAGGCGCATGAGGCTGGGCTGGCATGGCCCAGGTGGAGGGAGCCAGGGGGGCGTACACTGGGTGTCATGGACGTGTATTATTTTCCTCATTTTTCTGTATTTATACGGATTTATATACGGAAGATATAAAGGGCCAAAGTACAGAGACTTCGCAGTTAGTCACAAGGGTTTGCCACCCATGTGCACATGACCATGGGACTAAGGTCCCTTATACGTATGTAGAGTTATGATTGGAAGATAAGGATGGAAGGTTCTGGAAGGATCCAGGACACGCTTAGTAGTTTACGCTTACTCACTGTAGTAGGTTTTACTCAGCAAAGTGGAGCCACTTGTAAGCGCTATGACAAGTGCATCAGTCAGCACAATAGATAGCGCTATTAATAGACACGACACGTCAGCTCCTGAGTCAAGGAATCTTACTATACACTTAGTAATAGTGTTTAGACTCAGTTCATACTCAGCCGCAGTAGTGTATATAAACCTCCATGCAAGGGGGGTTTGGACCGTGGTTCCGTGACCCGATGCTGGGGGGGGGGGTCGGCCGAAAGTCCTTAAAAAAATTTACTTTTTGGGCGTCTAGAAGGCCGGCCCACTTATCCGTTGGGTTCCTGCCCCCGTCCTGTCGCTCTGCTGCCACCACCGTTCTTGCAACCAACAGGAAGAGGCAGTTGATGATGAGCTGGGCTTCAGCCCAGTGATAGAGATAAGTTTTTTCTTTTTCTTTTTGGTTCCATTGTATTTCTCACTATGTCCCTCTGTAGTACCTGGGCTCCCTCCCTCTCACGGAAGCTCACCACCACTGCCACCCCATCATGGCGTGCAAGACCCGTTACTAGGGATCGTCACGGGTTGGCAAAACCCGTATGGGTCATAGGTACGGGTCAGGGTAGCGATGTCCCAACCTGTGCAAAACCCGTACCGAATTTTTTAGTGCACTTCTTCATCTGGTAACAGCACACCCACCCGCAACCACGCGTCGTCTGCCACTGCCGGGCCTTCTCCCTTTCTGTCCCAGCCATTTCTGTTCACCCCATCCTCCCCACCCGTCGTGCGTACCCGCAATTCTATATCCCACCTGGGTTTTCCATCGCCATACACACCATTCCCACTGCGACCAAGTCTCGCTCTTCGTCGCACCTCTTGTGAAACATTTCAACGGCAACATTTAGTTCCTTCACTTCCTCGCGCAGTATTCGCCACAGCGCATGCGTCCCCAAGGTGCATCTTCGGACAGCGAATCCGATCCAGACTCCTTCGACGAAGACGAAGACAGCATGATCTACACCGCAAAGCATCTTGGCAATGGCATAGCCTTTCGCTTGCGCATATTCCTTGACACTTCAAGAGCATCACCACCGCCCCTGGTCAGCTCGGAGCTGGTGAGACAGAAACTGAGGCGAATGAACCAGTAAGATGCCTCGCCCTCCCCAGTCATATCGTCTCATCTCTCACACTCTTCTAGAACACTACAGGCAGAAAAAAGAAACACTGCAAGCGCCTCTCTCCCGGCCCTCGCCCCACCTCTACCTTTGTCTCGGCATTCTCGTGTATGGCGACGCTAAGTGTTTTTTTTTTGGATTCACGATGTTTTCTACCGATTTAATTCTATTTATATAGAACCCTGACCGCTGAACAAAGCCTCATGACGATGGCGACGACTTGGAGGCGACCAGGACCGTGATGGTGGGGCGACGTTGACCCACGACACAACCACTGGCAGCACGGCGCCAACGAGGTGGCGGCGGCGGCAGCAGCAGGGCAACGCGACAACAACAATGACAGCTGCGGTGACTACACCGACTATGGCAATGACTGCGACGTGACGACTATGATCACGATGGTGATGTCTATGGCAGCGGCAACAACGGCGGCGGCAATTACAGGCTCCCAGTGAGGCGACAACAACGGCGACAACCTTGACACGACTAGTATCTGTACTACGAGTATACATGCTAAAAATACAGGACTCAGTGCCAGTGGCATGTAAGGCTCTCTGATGCTGCAGGTGTGTGAGCACAAGTACCCGTCAAACCTGCGCGAACCCATCAAACCCGCCACCCGCCACCATACCACTCTCCACCCGTACCCATGCTCGCGGGTACGGGTTGAAGGGTGCGGGTACAGGTTGAGGCCGATCGACACGCGGGTGACCCATGTCAATCCCTAGCTGCACATGGGTGCAGCACGTTCAGAAATGCAAGAGTGTGAACTGCATCGGTTCTATATTTGGATAAAATTTCCTTTTTGGGGGGTACACCGGGGGGGGGGGGGGGTTAAGGCTCGACCCCTTAAAAAAATTTACCAACCCCGTGCGATTTTAAAATTTTTTGACCCCCCTTGCCTCCATGTAGTGTCCTGAGTGGAACCAACTTGTCCTCTTGGTTCTCCACTCAGGTGCACATTTCATTGTACTTCCTTACTCCAGTCCAATCTAACTTGTCCTCTTGGTTCTCCACTCAGTGTGCCACAGTGTGATCTTAGCGGTTAGGGCCTTGCATAAAGACCCATATGTTCTGCGCTCTCCACTGTGACTGTACGTCTAGCGCGTGACTTGTCTCTGTGCTAAGTTGAGTGTGCCCCCTCAACAGTTCACCTTACTTTACACTTGACTTGGTGTAGCACGGCAGTTGCACCGCTACACTGGGCGTACTGTCCTTCCTGTGCATCTGTCTGCGCGAAAGGGGGAGGGCGCGATGATCTGCACCAAAGGGGTGGTCAGTGGGGGGTGGTGGATATGGTTGGGGCAGGCTTACCTTTGGTCCCCTTGTCTGTGTGGAGAGGGCAGCGGTGTGTAGAGGAAGGGGGAAAGGAGAGGGGAGAGGAAGGGGCAGGCGTGTGCCTAAGTTGGAATTCGTCATACCTGCGACTAACTTTAGGCACATCCACGCTGCCTCTTCCTCTCCCCTCTCCTTTCCCCCTTCCTCTACACACTGCCATCCTCTCCACACAGACAGGGGACCAAAGGTAAGTCCGCCCCCACCATCTCCACAACCCCCACTGACCACCAATGGCAGATCGTCCCACTCCCCGCCCCCGTTGCGTC